ATAAGGAAAATACTGTTACAATAGATTTGTAGACAAACCATCCCTCCTTGAGCAGTTTTTCTCCCCCATTTTCAAGGCTGGGCTTGTTTGTCTTGATGTAGGGACTCTTGTCCATACTTGTGTCATATTTCCAGAAACCTTCCATGATAAACCCTCGTTTCTCCTACAAAGCCATTCTGCAGTATTTCTCTGGAATCCATTAAGCAGCCTGGCTGAACAATACAATCTTAATTGGTTTGCAAACTACACAGCTCACCTCTGAGGCCAAGCAGAGCCTGTGTAAATTAAAGTGGATTGGATCAGGCTGTCCCAGGAATAGTTCTCCCAGTTAGTGCTGCCAGAGCATCCCATCGCCCTTGCTGTGTTCACCCACCAGTAATAACTTACAAGTAAATTTCACCAACAATAGCAGGGAATTGAGACACAAACATTTTGCTATTTAATATTCCACGATGGGCTATTTTACATACTACAGAAAAGCCCATTTGGTCATTTACTAAAAGGAAAAGTCATCTTGTTCCCAGCAGAGGCGAGGGAACGCCGCTGTCCCCACCCTGGCCGTGCAGCCTGTTACCCTGAGAAGGGCCATGCTGTGGGGCTGGACACAGAACTAGAGGAACCTTCTGCAAAGTTTTGACAGTGATGTCCCAGAGTTTGTGCAGTAATTGGATAATCTAAAATTTCTATTCTTGTCCTCATGGACTAATCTGTAACAGCGTTAAGGGACAGTTATGATATTAATTAAATACAAGTCCTGCATACAAAATTGATACTCTGCATCTCCATCTCCACGAGGGAGTTTCCCTCTTAATAAGACCTAAATCAAGTTTTACTTTTTTTTTCAGGAATTCATAAAAATTATCATATTGTACATACATCTATATACAAGAGAACAAGATATTTCAAATAGATGGGCTCTGGCACATTCATCTTGTTCTCTGATCTCCCTGATCTGAAATTAGCAATGTCAGACTAAATCAGGGCTGATGAAGGACTCTCCCTGACAAGCCAGGGCCCCGGCACAGGGACAGGAGCATCCCCACCAACGGGTGCCTGGCAGCAAACACCAGCCTTCCAAAACACAGAGGAGAAGAAGGAAGGAAATTCATGGTAATGTCACCTCATTTCCATTTAGCAGCAGTTCACTATGAATCTACATGAACACACCATTTACATGCACCTGGAAAGGTTCATGCTCAAGAAAAGCAAATGCATGGGCTGAGCCAACCCTCTGGGATCTGGGAAGGCACCAGCCTGGAATGATGCTGAAGCTATTGCAACACCCCCCTTACTATTATTTATTAGTTAAAATTTTTAATTATGTGAATTGATTAGGAACACCTCACCAGGGATCCTAATTAATTAGAATTTTAAAAAGGATCATGGATTGGAGATTTTTAATGGATTCCACAAAGAATTGCACATGGAGGTATATTAAGGGAAAGGCCAAATTAACTTCTCCTTTCTGGTTTATCTGGCATTTTCTAACAGGACTGTGCATCAGATTAACAAAGTAATATCCTAAACCTTTGTGTGCATTGATGCCAACCAAGACAATAGATTGAGAATTTCAGGCAGTTATCATTTCACATCCACTTGGTTGATTAGTTTATTCCTTTTATTCCTTATTTAAATTAGCATATTCCTATTTAAGTTAGTTCATTCTTTATGTCCTAAATTTGCTTTAGCTGTACTGTGCCTACTCACCAAATCCTTCTAGAAGACACTGACAGACACCAACAGCCCTGAGTATCTGGCATAAACTTCTTGTTTCAAAATGCATTTTTCTTCTTATTTAAAATTTGGAAAGACGCAGGAGCCGTCACTTTGATAACACTCAGGAAGTAATTAGTTGCTAACTTCACTAATATAAATCCCTTTTCAGAATTGGCTGGTCAGTAGTTTCACAGGCCAATGTTTCTCCTTCGTGCCCATTAGCTGCCATTTCCAGAGCTGTCTGGATGCTGTCGGTGCTCTTGGCTCTCGGCTTCGCAAGTATTTTTCCATCAGTGCGACGATGATACCTATTTATCTCCTGGCTGCAAGAGTTGCTGAGATGATCTGGCAGTGCCACAAGGCAGACAGTTATTTCATGCCCTGTTAAACCCTAATGTGGTTAACTACAGCATCACTCCAACTTCCAAAAAAGCTTTTTTTTATTATTTAAAATCTGTTGCCTACACGTCCAAGTAAAGACCATGGTTTCCCACTGGGATGGTATCAGAAATGTAAGTCCATAACATTCTATATGAAGTCGCAGAGTCTACTGATCAAGGAATTAAGGAGGTTAAAAGCACACAATTCTGCCCAAGCAGCACTTAGAGGTCAAGAAAATGAACTTTTCCTGCCTTGTTCAGAAGGGAGATGGGCAGCACTGGGTCAGATGCTGCCCAGGAAGAGGGATGGGGCAGGGGCTGAGGCACAGGGGGTTTCCTCCAGCATTTGGAAGCCACAGACACATCTTGGGGCACACACAGTATAAGAGATGTTTCTACTGTGGACCTGACTCTTCTAGACCCAGATTTATGTGGGAGTTGCATTTCAGACCTCAATCTCTATCTTCCGGTTCCTGTTGATTTTCTACTATCCTTACATACATAAATTACAACAACTTGAATCATCAGTTCCTTTCTATGCTCTGGTACCCAGGGGAAAAAATACTAAGTTCTTTTCAACACTTAGCTGATCAGTCTGGATTTTGATACCCCTTTAGTGCTACTAAGCACAGATTTATGTAGAGGTTGTGTTCCTCCAGATATGAGCCCCTGTAAAGGTTGCCATTAATTCTTCACTGCTTGGCTCAGGAGCCAGGTTTGTGCCCGGTTATTCTCCATCTTCCCCAAGACCCATCTCCTGTAAAACTGGCCCCATCCTGTACCTGCCAGTGCCAGGAGGCTCAGAGGTGGGTCTGTTTGGTTTCCCAGCCAGAAGACTGAGGGATGACTCAATGAGAGGGCATAAGTACCTTCTTGGGAGATAAAGTATCAGGTACTAAAGGGCTCTTAAGCTGGAGAGAGAGGTAGGAACAAATGGTCAAACCCAGGCACATCCAAATCACAAAGCAAGTACTTTGACACTTGTTTTCTTAAGTGGTAAATGTTATCAGCCCCAGGAAGAAGCCCTGAAAGCTGTGTATTCTCCAGCTCCTGACACTTTCCATTTCAGGTCAGTTACATTCCACAAGCCATGCTTCAATAAAACAGAAATTACTGGGTTCAGCACAGAGCTGTTGAGTCAATGTGATTGCCCTGCACATCCACAGCCAGACACTAGGGCCAATAGTTCCATCTTTGAAAACACATGCCAGAAAGTATCTAATCACATGTATGTGTGGTAGCCCACAGCTACCACCACCCTCCTACAGGTTAGGTTAGCAGGGCAGGTTCTGGTATTCTGCATTGTTAAAGTCCACAGAATTAATTAGATCATGCCCCGTACACCCAAAACAAAAACAATGCACAATTTCTATTATGCTGATTATTTTTTTTCCCCTTGTCATAATAAAACATTGTTATTGGATGTAAAAATTATGGAACAAAGTTATGCCTCTCTGGTGTAATATAATGCAATCTATTTAATACTATTTTAAAACCCAAAACCTCATTAAAGCTGACAGAACCTAAGAATGACAAATGGCCCAGGAGGATCTACTCCAGGCACCCGGCTGCTCCACATCCCCCGCACCAGGTTTGGAGATGGTCCCACGGGTGCCAAAAGCTCAGTCCAGCTCCAGGGCCACACTGGGGAGTGCAGGAGCTCATCACAGGCAGGAAGAAGGCTGGTACCACACAAACCTGCCAAGAGCGGCCCAGGGAGCAAGGTCGGAAAGCTCAGCTTGGCCCAAAGTCCAGCCCAAAGCTGTTGGATGCACCTCCACACCACAGGTCAAGATTTGGCTGTCCATGAACAACACCAACTATTCCAAACACTGCAAACACTGCTGGGCTCTGTCCACACAACCGAGCATAGGTTTCTATCCACAGCAATGTCCCCAGTAATCACTACAGCTTACACAAATAAGTACCCTTACAGCTTGGCTCTTCATTGGCCAAGATCAGGGTATTTCTGATGGCACAGCCAAAGGCTACATATACACATTATAACACCCTGCTACTACTTTGGTCCGGTTCAATATAAAGGCAGAGAACACAGCCCTACTGTCTCAGGAACTAAGCTAGGCAAAGATCTGTAGTGGCACTTCTATCAGAAAATGCAATTCCTATTTAATAACATATAAAAGAAGTTAAATACATGTACTTCTTATGCACATCTGTGCAGACCTTGAACATCAGAAGCTATCAGTGCAATCAAACAGCTCTCTCACACAGAGTCTAAGAAACAACAGTTGTGTCAAACAACAACGTGCTTTGGAACAAACAAGCTTATTCCAGAAATACTGGGTCAGGTGATATCGCCCATCTGAATGTCTCCGAATGGCTAAATAGCACCAATAGAGCAAAGGCCTCCTTCAAAACATGCCATGAAGCAGAGTCTGATTCTGGTCTGAATTCAACAGAAATTCAGCTTCTGCTACTGTTAAGACACACACTTCATAAGCATATGGAAAGTTATGACAACTGGTGCCAAAAAGTTAGCTGGTATTTAGTGAGAAGCAAATCATGCACATACAAACCTTACACAGTGAAAAAATAATGTAAAAAAGCTTAGCAACGCCCTCATGGTGTTTGGTTACCCTTGTGAAGCACCTGTGACCAACAGCACATGTTCTACCCAGAGATGCTCAGTATGGCCACACACTGTCTGTCTCTGGCACCTCAGCTGTGTGAGGTCACAGCGACCCAATGGCTGTGATGCACCCGGATGGTGAAACCACATTCAGATTTCACTCAAAGTAGTCAAAGAACGTGTGTGTTTGGAGGGGCAGGAAAGAAAGCTAGAATTCAGCAAATATTTTTCTGAACGAGTGGACAACTTCACATTGGATGTATTTTGGAGAGATGCTGGTTCCCAGCCCACCCATTTCCACTCTGCTCTCCTACCTCCACTCCTTGGACTTTCAGCTTCATGTGATCCTCTCTGGTGGTTTTCCCATCTTTCCTTTTCTTCCAGCAATATCCATCTTTCCTGTATTTCACCTTCTTCCTGTTGTACAGGATCATAGAACCATTCTGCGGTCTGAAAAAAAGAAACAGTTCTGGATTACAAAAAGAAAAAAACACCCTAGGAGAGCTGGTGAAGCAATGCACCACAGAGGGCAAAAGTCTGCACAGGAAAGCAATACTCCGTATTTGGCACAATACAAATTTTCACCTTCAGTTGCTGTTAATGGGATTAACTGATGTTTGGCAATCTGCAAAATTTTACTTGAGAATCTTGTACCTAATGAAGTCACTGTGCCAGTGATAGGTTAAGAAAAAAAAAAAAAGACATCTTATAAAATAGCTAGTGTTTTCACAGGATATCTTATGATTTGGGTCAGTTACATGCTGAAAATCAGAAGAAAAGAAAGGTTAAGGAGAGAAAGGATTGTTATTATTTTATTATACAGAATCTCTTTTTAATGCATCAGCAGGATTAGATAACAACCCCCTCTAATGCAGCACCAGAATAAGGATGTTGGCATAAAAAGGCAATAAACAAGCAAAAAAGAACGGAAGGAAAAAAGCATTAGCTTAGACATTGGTTTTGCTGTTCCTGCTTAGATCAGTGCTAGACATGGAATAACTCTCTTTTGAGCACCTATGGGACTTCAAAAACACTTGAAAACATGTTCTGCTTCAAGACCACGATGATGCCTTGGAACGTCAACAAAGGCATCTTGACGCTTGCCCAGCAGACTCAACACGGTTTTGGTGTTCAACAACATCTCAGAAATGTTTTGCCATCTGCTAAGCTGACACACAAAAGGGGAATTTCTACTGTAATACTAAAAAAATACACAGCTCAACCCCCAAGGCTGCAGAGGGAGCAGACAGTCTGGGCAGGTGTTGGGCTGAAGAAGCTGTGGATGGTTGTGGAGGGGCATCGGGCACACAAAGCCACTGGGCTTCAGAACACCCAGAAAGAAAAGCAGAGACACTGGCAGCAGTGGCAACGAGCAACATTCACAGGAAAGCTTTGGCTGAAGCCTTTTGACAAAGTAAAGCACCTGAACTTGTACAAACTGAGCAAATGAAGTACAGGCAGCTGCTGGTCCCCCTCCCCAGCCCAGCCGTGCTGCCCCAGGTACCCCCTGCTCTCTGGGCACCTGGTGTTTCCACACAGAGCTGAGTGATACTGGAAACAGCTGAAAAATACACCAAGTATCTTTGTCTCCAGCCAAGACAAGGAAGCTCTTAAAATAAATAAGCCAAATTAAGTGGTTTGTGTTCATGCAACATTGGATTGTGACTCCAGAGCTGTGCCAAGGGTGCAAAAATCAGTGCCTGGCCCAGCTGGAACAACATACCTCTTTCCTCTTGCTTCTACGGTTCTAACAGCACAATACCATGAAAGAAGCACAAGAACAAGCTTCTGCAGATACCCTCTCCTCATTTGTCTCTAACAAAACGTTCCATTTGAAGATAGCCGCCCTCACCCATGTTTATCACATAATAATAGGGCAGTAACGTTGATGTAATAGCTGTTAATTATAGAGTAACTCATTCCAGTGCTCCATTAAGTGCATAAAGGCACCTCACTACTGAGGCAAACAAGCTCATGATGGTTTTCTACCAGCACCGGCCAGCTGAAATTACCTCGCTCAGCCAACACACCCCACACCCTTCCTCCATCAGAACAAACACCATCAGCAGCCGCGGGATCCGCTGCCAAGAGCCCGTCCTTTGGCTGTGTCTCTGCACATCACTGCAGAGGGTACCTCCAGGTCCAGGCAAAGGAAGCCCTGCCTCAGCTGTTCTCAGCACTCACTCTCCAGAAGGCACATACACATCACAAACTTAATGAACATGGATTGGAAACTGTGGGAAGCCTCTCTTAGAATGACAGCTGCTGTAAGAAAGGCAGAGAGGGAAGATCTCCTGTGCTTGTCTCCAGCCCATGGACACAGCCAAGAGCAGGATGGCTGTGGGAAGGCTCTGCAGATGAGGTCTGAGGGATCTGCAGGACACGCAGCACTGCGACTCCAACCTAGATCTCCTTGGGAGGTTTTGCTGCTCCACCTCAACTCTGGGATTTCATTTGCACCTTTGTGAAAGAGGGGGATGAAACTACACACCTGAGCATGAGCCACCCTGGGACTGCAATTCCCAACCAGCTCCCACAGCCACCCCAGGAGCCTGCAGCACAGGCAGGGCTGGCGTGCAGGTGCCATCGGACACAGAAAACAACTGTTTTCTCTGTACTGCCTTGCACCCAGAGCCTCAGCAACAGCAAGTACTGCAACATCAACAGCAATTTACTTGGTTTGATTAGCTACTACTTTGCAGCTACACAGCGCTCTTTTCATTAATGCAGGACTAAACAGAAAATAATAAAATACTATTCTAATGTTACAGTACAGCTGAAAGCAAGTGAGCCAGAGGGAACTCAACCTACTGAGAGGCCTGAGCTTGCAGAGTGAGGTGCTGATGCTGCTGGAGGGGTCCGGGGACCCACACAGAGACTGGCTGCCATGTACTCATCCTCATTCCTCCCTGGTGGGGATGATCACAGCCCAGTTTTCCATCATGTGCGACAAAAACCAGACCCACGTCCATGAAATGGCAATGTGACCTCCCAGCAGGTCACCTCACCTGTACCTGCTGTACACCAAACACAAGCTACAGCACTTCCTCCCTCCAGCTGATTCCCCAGGATGGCACAGAAAGGTCAACAGCATCTCTCCCTCCACTTGGAATAAATTTGATTGCAACGAGAAGACAGGGTTTATTGCTCCTAGAAACAAAAGCAGCAAACAAAAGGAAAGGGACAGAGGAAGGAGCAGTGCTACAGCCTGACCCCCCAGCAATAGAGGAGAGGAGCCCTCTGCCTGCCTCGCCCACAGACACTGAATCCCTGCCTTGGGTTCAGGCTGGGAACACCAACAAACAAACCTCCACAGCCACCACATGGCCAGCAGAGATGTGCTCGCCCCAGATCCCCCACCTGAGTGTAAGAGCAGGGTCCTGCCCATCCAGCTGGGCAGGAGCACAGCATGAGGGCTCTGCACACACTGGCAGGTATTTCTGGTTGCACTGGTGAAGCTTGCAGGATGGTCAACTTGCATACAGACCCAAGTAGCACACAGCAAAGTTACAAATCTAGATTTCCTCTCTTTTACAAGCCTGTGGCATTTAAAAGCTGTCTGATCTCTAGGTTTCTTGCTTGTGGCCTGGGGGAAGGAGGGGAAAGGACAGAAAGAGTAATTGCAGAGCAGAGAACCTTGTCTTCGGTATTGATGAGATTTGAGATGCTTCCCTCCCTCTGCCCCTGTTACTTACCATCACAAATTGCCACAACAGCGTAAGAGCTACTTCTGCCCAAATTGTTCCTGCTGCAGCCAGGAAGAAGATGCTAAATTCCATTTTCAGGCTTATTTTTAGAGTGAAGAATCATAGCCTGCGGCTGCTGTGTCTCACTCGGGATCTGCTCGTTGCTGGGGACTCCTGAGGATGCTCACCTCCTGCTGCACATCAGTCCACACCACTGGATAAGAGCAGGGTATTTTGGTCTAGTGATGCTTCATATATGCCTCAATTATTGTGCTTGTAAATTAAAGTGCCTTTGACTTCAACAACCAAGATCACAGAAACATAGAATGGATTGGGTTGGAAGGGACCTCAAAGATTATCTAGATCCAGCCCCCCTGCATGGGCAGGGACACCTCCCACCAGACCAGGTTGCTCCAAGCCCTGTTGAACCTGGCCTTGGACACTGCCAGGGATGGGGCAGCCACAGCTTCCCTGGGCAACCTGGGCCAGGGTCTCATCACCCTCACAGGGAAGAATTTTCTCCTAATGTGTAAAGGAAAGGAAGGAAAAGGAGGGGCAATGAAAGGAAAAGAGAGTAAAGGAAGGTCAAAGAAGGGGAGGGGCAAGGGGAAGGAAACAAAGACATTAAATTACAACCATTTCACAGGTGCAGGTGTACATAAAAACAGGAACATTCAGACTCACTATTGTAGACATTAGCCTGATGACCTTTTGAATCATGGTACTACTGAGGAGTACATGGTACTACTGGTACCACTGAGTTGTTCTCCTAACTGTGTTACTGCAACACTAACGAGGCTGTTCAATGCAACTAGTTCCCTTTAAATTGTCACATCAAGATTTGGTAAATGTCAGATGTATCGTTTCATTAAAACTATGTTTTAGTGCCTCAAGAACTGGGGTTGCTGAAAGAGAACAGCAAATATGGCAAAGCCAAAAGCAGCCAAGGTAGCTAGAGAGCAATGGCAGTTAAAGCCATGCTGTGATGCAGCAGGAGGGTGTCACACACCAGACACCCTCTGTGCCACCTCAGTGCACAGGCAGTCACCACCCCCAGCATGCAGGTGACGAAGCCCCCTCCACCAATCCCTCCATCCCTCAACACACACAGCACTGAGAAATGGTTCCCGCTCACAGCCTTGATTATGCTATTTTTTTATCCTGCAAAACTGTTAACTTTATTTTCTCTGGCTATGAAGTTATCCTGGAGTCCAGGGACTGCAAAAGGGGACAATCTTCCATCTTCTGAATCTATGTACCATAATGATGAGAAATTAACTTTCCATCTCCCAAAGGTGCAACCTACTGATGCAGAAACTGGCTGGGAAAAACTGGAGTCCTGAAGGAAGCCTAGAAAGAGAGACAGAGCCTCATAATAAATTATTACCCTGAATTTTTCTCCTGTCTGGAGAAGCTTCCCAGATTTCAGGCAAAACAGGTCAAAGACCACCGTGGGGGGCCACAGTGCCAGCAGTTACAGTTCCAACAAGCCAACAGCTGCAACACAAGCACCAGGCAAGGGGGAAGTGGAAGGTGGCCCTGGAAAAGGTTAGAAGAAATATTCTGGAAATATTTGAAAAAAATTATGCCTCAAAATGTGCTTCTCTAAAGTCAATTACAGGGAGAGGACTGAGAATACAATACTCATGGGGAATCACATGCCTCCTTGAGCACAACAAAAAAAAATCGTGTGTGGACAACACAGGGCACCTAAAAATAACACAAAGTGGACATAACCCTCGAAAAGAATAAAGCAGGCCTGTA